ATAGCAATTTAATCACAATTAACTATCCATTAAACATCAGTAAACTTCTTCGTATAGTAAACACATTTATCGTATCTCTTAATCAAACTCGAGGCTAGTGTGTAATTCTTCCAATCTCCGGAACTAATTTCAATTGTTATTTCAGTACATTTGTTTTATTCCACCATGTCAGACAAGTCATGAAATCAAGAATTAATCAAGATGCAAAAAAAGATTGTTGGTATGATAGGGTCAATCTCTGTGGTATCACAGGTAATGAGAATGGGTTTGCTAATGCAAAAGTGGTGACTTATTAAGATGTATAAGTATATAGATATCTATGTAAGGATGCTCTTGAAGCGTTGATAAAACTTGAGTCCACTTGTGTGCCTGAGGCATGAATCTCAAGCTCAGGCCTACCGGAGCAAGTACTCTGACACTGGCAACTTTTTGTTTAAAGAGCAATTTGCCAACCTTGTGGTGTCACTTACGTTAAAATCTTCAAATCCACAACTCCAACCATCCCATGAAAACCTTACTGCAAAATATTTAAATTTTGGAAAATAAGATTGTGTTTCTAGCCACACTATAGCGGAGATCAATTCACAGCCATAACACAGTAACTAACTAGTACTCTGAATGGCAACTGTTGCTATTATAACACTGTAACCATTATAATACCTAAATTATGTTATTGTATGCACGTCATAACTTGGTTGCCTGGGTGCAACGCGACATCCCAGAGATGGTTAGTGACGCTGATTTGGTTGTTGCATCAGCAGGATTATCCTTATTGTCTATCCATTGTACCTCATGAATATCACCTCTTTTGTAGCTCTACTGCAGTGCCATGATATCAATCATCAGTCGTTTTTCTTTGGTGGTACCAAGCTTGACGAGGCACTCGTATAACGACATGCTATCTGTGCAGATAATGATTGGAACTTGTGGAACATTAAGCTTGTGGATGGTGCTGAACTTGTTAGTGATGTTGTTAATTGTTCCAGCAATTGCCACAGCCATGTCAACACCATGAGCCATGGCGTATATTTCTGAAGCCAGAACGCTACGCGTGACTTGTTTGCACTTTGTGGACAACCACTGTATAATATTGCCGGTCATCTTAAAGCTGTCAGTTAGATCACCCTCCTTACTGCCGAGCACAATGACGTAGCCAATCTGAGACGTTAGGTTCTTGTTATTTGCCAATGACACATTGATAAATACAAAAAGCTTCATATTTTTCAAATTTAACATTATATAACGTAACCCCCTGGCTGTATTTTCTTTCTGCCATTTGAGTTGTTTGTTAAGCAATGCTATCTCGTCACTGTTCGGATTTTTGTGTTGCGCTGCAGCTGAAAAATCAAATGAGGCCTCTGGTTGGCATATTGTTGCTATATAGGCTCCTCGAGCCCTTTGCTAAGTGTATGATTTACCATTAGTTGCCAGCAAAAGTTTATCGGCCTGATCCTTTTGCTACAATACTAGGTCGCCACCCTCAAGTGTCAGTTTGCATCCATTAAACAGGAGAGGATGATCTACAGATAGGAACTCTTTTTGTTTTGCTTTAAAAGCCAATTTGCAATCCTCAGTCTCCGCAAAGGCCCCATCACTTAGGACTAACGTGTCATTGGTCTGCATTCCCACTACTCCAAATGATGGTGCCTCCTTTGTAGTCACCAAAAGGCATAGATCGAACGTTGATGTCTCCATAAGTAGCTTCTCATAGTGGTGGCAGAAGTATGTAGCCCACCAATGCGTTCCAGATTCTGCTGGTCTGTACATCTCAAGGATGAGGGTTTGATAGTGTTCCACGGGGTGCGTTGTATAGCCTAGTAAAGATCTAGGTGGTAAGTGAAGGTTATAAATGGGTCAAAGGAATGACAGGTCTTCTCTAGGAAGAGATAAATGGGCAACTAGTTGCAGTAGATGTTACACGTGGGTCTTGCTGATGAAGAACTAGGCAATGGATATATGGTCTTCCCAAAGAAGAGATGGGTAAACAAATGTATTGTAAAGGGTAAATAAAGAAGACGTTGCGTAAGGAGCAAATCTCTCTCACGCTGAACTATTATATACAAGAGTAGAAGCATTTGCCAACTGGAATTAATCGTAATCAATTCTTGCCAATATCTTCGCATTGATGGCTGTGTTCTTGTCCTTCTCTTCATGACTCCCTTGTATATCCTTACATGACGTTTTACATGACTAATTGTATAGGGGAAGCTATTATTAAGTTGATGTCTTTAATTAACTACCCCTTTATCTTATCACGAATTAATATTAGTATTAAAATTCTATTTACGGATCTGTGAAAGTACAAAGGCTTGATAATTTTCATGATGGTATCTGGTGGAAACATATAGCATATTTGGATTGGGATCTCTGCAATTATCTCCCGTTGGAGGACGGTATCTGATTGCACGTACGCCTGGGTAATATCCCGCAGCCACATAGTCAGCGTGGTCGCCTTACATAATGTTGGCGTGAGCGCAAGGATAATATGCTGGCTGGAGCGTTGTATAGTAGGACTCTGTAAGTACTTGACGTTTCTCTGTATTTTTGTATCCCATTACAACGAGTCGAGACTTCTCGTATGGTTTATCTGTTCCTTTTCCTTTGACTTCATGGACCAACCTTGCTTTAAACATCTTTGAGTTACCATGCTTAACTGCGTCATACAACTCGAACTTGAGAATACCATTACCAATGAGTGCTTCGATTTCTGCCTGATCTGATAGCTTAAACGGAGCTCCTGGGGTCAGTTTCTTTCCCTCCTTGCGTAACTTCACGGCCAAAACTGCGTCAGCTTTCTCTTTGTCACTCAAGAACATGTTGCCAGTAAACTGTGATGTTGAATCTGGGGTGGAAATCGGCTTGTTCTTGGATCCTTTTGGTCGATCGCGGCGACGTGGCGCTACAGGGGCATGTCTATCCGGGTTAAAGTCGTAGTTGTCGTCATCGTGCTGGAGTGCCTGGCTTTCTTCAATAGATGTTCCTGCTGCCGAAATCCTAGTATTTTGATCATGATAATAGGGCTTAACTGATGTATTCCGGAAGGTAATTGTTCGGCTGTTAACCTCGACGGTATATGCCGTATCGTCTTCGTTCCATGCGAGAAGCTTGTGAGGTCCAGTCCATCCAGCACCTTCTCTCCACACACGGACGTCGCTTGTGAGAGGGAGCTGTAGTGTATCGAGAATTTTGGGCCCGTTTCAAATGCCGAGAGCATCTGCCACTTGTGGCCTGGCCTTAAGCTTGCGGATCTCAGTCATTGCTGTCTTTATAGCCTCGGCGCGCTGTGAAATGTTTGTATATGGTGGGAATGTTTGGCTCATCCGTGGGTAGGCACCAAAGACGAGCAATATTGGGACAAGACCGTCTGGACCTGCGGTGTCGTTAACCGCCTTGACAGCCATCTAGGGGATGTTCTCTGCTGCCACATTTCGCAACTCGACTCACAAGATTTCATAAGCTCGCTTTACCGGCCCGTGGTATTTCTCGACCTTCCCGATCGAGGGATGTGCTTCGATGGGGACTTCCTCGACATTTATGCTAAGCAGCCGAGCGTTATCAACGAAGTCACTAGCCTTCAGGTTAGTTCCTGCATCCGTGATAATGAAGTCAGGAGGTCCCAAGTAGGTGTCAATCCACATTGCTCTGAGTGTTTCCCAGGTTGCCTTGGCGGTCATATTGGCTAGGAATCTTGCTGCTTGAAACGCGGTGGCTTCGTCGACTGCATGAAGAACTGGCTTGCCTTGTATGTACATGACGTCGACGATCAAGCGAAAATTGAAGTTCATGTCTTCTTGCAACTTGAAGCGGAAACGGCCAGGTGCCTTCGAACGGATCTGATACTGGTGACAGAACTTGTTTATTTGTCGCGAGGTATCTTCATTAAAATCAACGTACCCCGCGCGCGAGAGTAACCTACTAAGTCTGTCTGCCGCTGGATGACTGAATCGACAATGGAGCTGCCGAAGCTATATTTCAGTCAGGTGGCAAGCTGCTGCGGTGGCTTCCAGGTCAAGAAGGAAGAAAGGGTGTCCCAATTTGCGTACAACGGGGTATATTTCTTGCTTGCCCTGTTTGTTTGTATGGACGAGTAAATCTTGCGTATTATTGAGAAACACACAATGTTTGTCCATATCAGTTAAGCAAAGCAGAAATGGGGTGTTTGCCTGAACCACTGTAAATGTAATTGTACCAAACGGGATTTTCAAATTGGTTGTTCTGAGGGTTGCCACATGGGGGCTGTCACCGAAAGTTATACCATGATTACCTGCTGTTCTTGTTTCAAAGTCAAGCTCTGGGATGATCTTTTGGAGAGCTTTGACTTGGTTTTCTCCAGCTGTCAACAGCCCTGCCGCTCCTGTGTCGGGTAAAATCCCCTGGAAGATCTCTGAATCATTACGGCAGTGAAACTGAAAAATGGAGCTCGGCTCTGATTGGGCCGATTCGAATGGATCATTTGGCTGTCAGAGCATGTTAAGCTGCTTGGTTGTTGAGTAGGACAGGTGTACTACTTCCATTGATTGTACCTTAACTTGTGAGGAACTGCTCAGTTTTGTCCTCGGACCAAGTGTTAAACATGCCAATAAGATCAGTTTCATCATCATTCTGGTTCACTTCCTAGCCTTCATAGTTGATGATGTGTCACAAACCATCTCTAGGATGTTGCGTCGCGCCCGCGCAACCAAGTCATGACGTGCATACAATAATATAATTTAGGAGTTGTAATGGTTACAGTGTTGTGATAGCAATAGTTGCCATTCGGAGTACTAGTTTGTTGCTGTGCTATGGCTTTGGACCACTACGCCCTTGGTAACAGTATTGATGCTCGTGTACTTAAGGAAGCTCTAGGACTAGATTTATACTGCAGCTTTTTGTCTTGTAAATTACACATATCTTAGAATATAAATATTAATCTAAATATCTCGTCCTTATTATCAGCTTCTGTCTCCGTCCTCGTCCTCGTCTTCGTTGTCATCCTAGTCCCCGTCCTCGTCCGTGACAGATCAACATACCCAGGGTATCATTGTCAGCAGGGAGATCATTCTCAGCCATGTACGTCCGCCAGCTATTGATTCCTCCTTGGCGATCGCTTGGTTTGTGCCATGTGGACTAGCACCCCACTTTTTTACACACGAAGCAAATCTTCCCGCGGTCATTATTGCTACCGGATCCACCTTGAAGTCCACCCTTAAAACTACTTCGGCCACCTCTTGCATGAAGTCACCCTCTTACATATCCTAGCTTTCCACCGTATCTACGGTCGACAAAGTACTGTCCATCATCCACTTCTTCATTATCGAAGTGTTCTTCTGTCTGATGGAATAGCCCTGCATTCCGTGGATTGCAGTCCATGTGGACCTTTACAGTAGATCGAAGCTCAGCGCAGACATCTTCAAATCCGTCGTGGAGGCGGATTAGTGCTTGTGCACAGGCTGATACGCCTTGGCACGCGGCGTACAATTGTCCAGCGAGACTGTGGCTTTTGTGACCATAGTTACATCTGAGAGCTTCATATATTTTCTGGAGCTTTTAGATAACCACGTCAAGACATTGGAGGGTGTTTTTGTTAGAGTTATCTTTAAAGACTTTCTGTAGGGTAAGAACTCGCCATTCAGTCAGGTAGTTTTGCTCTTCTGTTTTCGTGTGAATCTTCTCTTAACCTTATGGACCATATCATTAAAATTCAGGTGTTCAAGATGCTCAGCAAGGTGTCTAAAGTAAAAGTCATGCGCGGCATCTCGTAGCATTGTGGACAAAGTGTGAGAAATACAGTTTCCAGCTTATCTTTATATCGACCAATGTGATTGCATGTATTTTGCCTGAACTATATTTCTGAGTTCAGACAGGAGCCCATACTTCTGATCCAATTGGACTCAACTTTTGAGTCTACTTGAATCCCATTCTTCCCGAACAAATCCAGCCATTGGTTTGCTCGTATTTTCTATTGCATGACTCAGTATTCTGAGTCGGTGGATAATTCTTCTCTGGTCTAGGATCCTACTTATTTCCGCAATGAAGTCGGTTCCGGATAACCTTTATTCCTTGTAATTCCACTGTATATATCATAGTACCTGTAGTCTTTTAGTGAATTACGCAAACTGAACTTCTCTGTTCTCAGGCAATTCTTACTCCGAAGTCTTCTCTATACTCTAACAGAAAGCATCTTTGAATAGGTTTTCTCCAATCCCAGCAATCCGGCATTTTCGAAGAAGATCCTAAGCTTATTTTCGAGCACCTCATAGTGCCTGGTTCCGAACTTATCTTGAGGATTAATATAGAGTTTATCTAGATCCATCAGTGATCTCGTGGTATTGGTACTTTTGTTAGGTGTTTCTTTCGCCCATTTCGGGATGTATGTCCTGCTGGAGTCATCGTCTGAGTCAATCTCAATGCCCCCTCTTGCTTTATACCTCCACTCTGGTTTCTTCTTGTATCCATCACTTTTCTTGTAAAGATCTTTACACCGATCACTAGGGTACAAATGATATATTCTTTCCTCCTCTTTTTCACCCTTGGGCAGGATATATTTGTTCTTGCCAGTTTTCGTGCTTTTTAGATCCGCGGATTCCGCGCCATTATCATCACTGTTATTATTATCGGCCACTTTAACTGTAATTCGTATGCCCTTGTTGGAGAAAAATGACTTAAATTCAGGCCTGTATCTTATCATCTGGTCAAGTTCGAGCTTCGGCCACTGAGGTAAGTCGTCAAGATCATTGTCAAGCAATGCTGCCAGCTGCTATGCGATGGTCGATCGTTTGTTATTCTCACACCCTACATATATTCCTCTTGACATGAGGAATGTTTTGAATCTTCTTAGAATTGGTGGGTAGTGTTGTGCTGGTGATGGCTAGGATTACGATGCACAAGGGTAATGATCACTGAGGGTGAATGAAGAACTTTCCAGGTGGCTCCATGATGAGTAGAGGAACGATGGAGCACTGTATAGAAAGTGTTTCTAGATTGTACTACCAGATGGAGGAGACTAGAATATTCCGTGGTACTATTTTGGGTAAATGAGGCGAGAGTCTGGCTACCTCAGATGTGTATATAGTTAGCGCTTTCTACCTCCTAAGTCCTCATAGTTCTGAATATCAAATATATTAGCAGTTCATATTGATTCATCGATGATCACCCGAAAACCCTCTGCCAATTGACCTCCGTAAGCTCTTACCTTTACAACAGGTAGACCATAGCAAATCTATTAGGATCCCACTTAACAAAGTCCTCTCGAAATATTTTGAAGAGCATGTTGTTGATGAAGCTTTGGTGGTAATTGTTGATCCATGTGACAATGGTTATGTTCAGATCCGTAACTCTATCACAAACGTTTTCCTTTCCTCCTGTATCCTTTTGCGTTATATGTGGCTTCACCCATTCGGCCTGGAGAAGTCCCACAAACTCCGGGAGCTTAGCTTGGCTCATGTTGTCAATTCTAGCGAGGTCTTAGACGCCTGGGAGACAATGATATCAACTTGTGATATGATGTCTCGATTTTCGCACTACTGGAACCCAACTTGTGGGACGATGTCACGGTTTCAGTACAAAACGCTTGGGCGATCTTGTAAGTACAATATATTAATTAAAATTCTCTAGAGAGAGAATTTCTATAGCTAGACTACAAAAATATATACACTCTGAGATACACCCCTCCTATAAGGTTCCCCCTATGACAAGAATAATATGGAATCTTCGAAGATTCCCTAGAAGACTCTCGATATGTCTGTCATCCTCATGAACCTTCAGTATACTTCCAGAAGGTTCATTAAGAATCTTCTAAGCTCCGTGTATCGCGAGATCCTTCCCAAAGATTCCCGAAGATTTCCTAGATGTCATTGCCTGCGCTAGCCAGTGTAGGCTACAGGAATTCTTAGGCTTAGTCGCTGTTACAATTCCCCTTCTCTTCTCCAAGGGTTAAGTATAATCAAATGTATTTTTATTGATTGTATTTTTTTTCCTGCGTTCCCTACGCGCTTTTTTGGTGTGGTGCTCAGCCTGACCAATATACCTGCCTGAATTACTCTCTGAAGGACCGTTATTTATTGTTATAGGACCGTAGGTGTCCTCAAATATCTTTAGAGCCTCCATGTCTGCGACGTACTCAACTAGTTCCCATGTTGGCTCTGCCCATCCAGTCCACTTGACTAGAGCTTGCCTGAAACTACCACGTCCACGTCTCACTGTTCTTTCTCGTATTATAGAGTCGACTTCGTATTCTTGCTCGCCAAGGTCGTCAAGAGTAGCGGGCTTTTGAGCATCGTCCCACTGCTGACTCAGAAAGAGGTCCACACCTGCTCGCTTTACCAGCTCAACATGAAAGCGGTTGTGGATATTCCCCGGTATGTTCACCTCCACAGTTAGTGGGTCAGGAACCGCAGTCATCTCGTACTTTTCGTGAAGCCAGGCTAACTTCTTGGAGAGCTGAGGGGATTTTACATTTCGGAGGTCTAACCAAACCTTGTCACCAACTTTGAATTGATCTGGTTGTCTCCAAAAGCGATTTGCATTCACCTCGTTTTGTTGCTGGGCTGAGGCCATTGCTGCCTGTGCAAAGTCTTGCGCATCCTCTCACCTTTTAACGTAGTCCTTTGCCAATAACCGTCCTGGGTGTCCAGGAACATTATCAGAGGTGGGTGTGGGTTCTGCTAGTGGTTCCAAATCGTATCCATGCCGTAGAAAGAACGGGCTTAGTCCTCCAATTGCTGAACTCGGTCGTGAATTGAGTGCCAGTTGAGCCACGGGCAACAGTTCCATCCAATTGTCTTGAGAATAGCAAGTGCAAGCTCGTAGGTATTTGTATAGCTCCTGATTTGCTCTTTCGCTTGCGTTTGATTGTGGATGGTACGCCGTGGTAAGGCGTTGTGTTATTCCTGTCCATTGGCAGAAAGTTCGCCAAAATTTTCCCACACAGTCACTACTCCTATCACTCGTCGAATGTTGTGGGAAGCCAAAGTAACGGTAATATCTGTCAATAAAAACTTTGGGACATTGCGTGGCTTGCATTGTATATGTCCCGAATAAGAAGACGTCCTTAGATAGCCGATCTGTTATGACCATTATATTTGTACAGTCCTGTGAAGGTGGCATATCTGTCACGAAATCGATGGTAAGCTCACTTCCTATCCGGTCAGGTATTGGCAGTGATCGGATAAGCCCAGCCTTTGCCTCTCGCCATACTGTTGTTCTCCCGCAAAAATCACAGTTCCGAATAAATCGACGGACTGACTTCCTCATCTTTGGCCAGAACCATTGCCTTAAAAGTATGCCAATCATTGTATCTTTCCCAGGGTATCCCGCTAGATAACTATCTTGCGTTCTCTGCATTATTGCCGTTCGGAGTGGCTCGTAATTGGGAACCCAAATTCTATTTTCCCTTCCACGAAGAATGCTATCCACGGCAACCGCACACTCTGCAATGTTAGCGGTTAATTTCTGAGCGATTTATGGAGGGAAACTTCTCACTCCACGCTGGTCAGAATCGCGCGCTCGTCTCCAATCGTTATTGCATATGACTCCCTGGTTCCAAAGTGCTTCAATCTTGTCGTCGTCAGATATTCTTGCCAGTGCGGCTGGGTCAGTAGAAGGATGAGTTGAACTATTTGATCTTCCATCAGTAGGTACATGAGGAAGCGAAGTTTCATTTGCTGCACTGACTTGTGCGTTGATAGGGGATGCTTTGACCGTTGGTAACAATTGCATAATACTACCCATGATTCATTTGTCATCCAGGCCATGTGGCTTGTCCTGATCGCGTCTTGAGAGAGTATCTGGTCGTTTGCAAGAGTTGCCCGGTCGCCATTTCAAAGTGAAATTGGACTGCTGCAGAACGTCGTAATACCTAGTCTGCCGTCCATTGAATAGTTGCTTGGTCATGAAATAATCTAAATTTTTATGATCGCTCAATATTGTGAATGGCTTTGCAACTAATCGGAGTTCGGCTTTCCATTCTTGCAGGCACGTGATTAAGGCCAGCATCTCTTTGTTTGTTTTTTTTTTTTTAATAATTTTGGTCCTAAGCTAAAGCTATGTTTTCCACATTGGGTCAAGGGCCGGCGGATCCGGCAGAGTTCCCTGTAACTTTTCCTACAGCATAACTCGTTCCAACCTCGTGAATCGCTACCAAAAGTGCAGCTGATTGAACAAGAACGAAAAATCACAAAAATTAAAACAACTCCAAATACCAGAAGATTCCTCCATCTTGGACCCAGTAAATGCGCTCTTCACACATTCCCTCGTCTGTCACACCTTCCAAATGACAAAATTTATTCAATCTCTGCTGAGAGCAAGAGATGAGTTAGCAGGTACCTTTGATCCAGCTGGTATCCTGCTACTGGTTAGTAGATGCCCCGAAAGGGGACATTGTCGAGGTTGCTGTGTCCTGAAACTTCTTCTTCAGATCCCAGAGCTCCGAGACCTATTGCCTCGGCCATCGAGACATCCTTCGCCGCGGCGATCATCGCCTCTTCGGCCTTTTTTGCTGCAGCCCTGGCTCGTTGTGACGGCTTGTGAGCCGATAAGCCCTGTAGCCTTCGATGGCTATCGAAGGCAACCTAGATTATCTATCACTCCGAGTATTATCAGCAGACGAAAACTGATATGAGATCGCCACTGAGGCTACGTAAAGGATAGTGCCAAGAGTATCGGAAGCGTTACCCGTGTGGCAGAACAAACCTTACGTCAGTTTCATTGCCACTGTAAACGTAGGCTAGATTTAGATACCTCTGGATGTGTATAAGTAGTAGAGGAGACCTGTAGGTAGTTTGCTTCTACATAGATGAATTATAGCTTTACCTTTCAATCATACAAATGCCCATTCGCTTTCTATATTCAAACTGTGACATATAATTCATCTATCTCCAGTTACGAAAGGTACGACGACGAGACATACGACGACGAGACATACGACGACGAGACATACGACGACGAGACATACGACGACGAGGAATACGACGACGAGACATACGACGACGAGGAATACGACGAGAGATATTGCGTCGAGAGGTACGACGACTAGAGATACGACGACGAGGAATACTACAAGAGATATTGCGTCGAGAGATACGACGACTAGAGATACGACGAGAGATAAAGCATAAAACTTTAACACCACGAAAAATGCAGTCGGCTCAAGTTCCAAGAGCCAATAATTTGAAAGCACAATGGAAATCAGCAACAAAAATTGAAGAACTTCGTCAAGAAAACAGATGTTTTAGGTGTGAAAAACAAGGCTGCTATGCTAGAGTCTGCCCTCTTCTTCCATTGGGAGGCACTTTTCACGAAAAAGACGTTGCTCGCCCAGTGAAAGCGACGTTGGGACCTAACGGCAGGCCTCTACGAGCTATATGGAAGACAGTAGATCAAATTGATAAGCTCAAAATGGAATGCAGATGTTTTAGATGCGAGCGACAAGGGTGCAGTACCAATGATTGTTTTTTACTCCCAGCAATAAATCCTAAGTTCAAAAAGCTAGCAACTATCCTTCCCGAAAAAATAGCGAAATTAGAAGAAAAAAATGAGAAGAGAAGTAACCACGCATTCATATCATCACTCACATCATCGAGCTATGATCCGACAAAAGCGGCTAAGAATATAGGACTGGAATTTAGTATGAACACGAAACCATTTCTGGTTAATGTGCTGATAAACGACGTAAATATGGTACAAGCATTG